AGGTGGTGGGTTAGGGAAGGTGATGGGTAAGGGAAGGTGGTGGGTAAGGGACGGTGATGGTTAAGGGAAGGTGGTTAGTAAGGGAAGGTGGTGGGTAAGGGAAGGTTGTGGGTAAGGGAATGTGATGGGTAAGGGAAGGTGATGGGTAAGGGAAGGTGATGGGTAAGGTAAGGTGGTGGGTAAGGGAAGGTGATGGGTAAGGGAAGGTGGTGTGTAAGGGAAGGTGGTGGGTAAGGGAAGGTGGTGGGTAAGGGAATGTGGTGGGTATGGGAAGGTGGTTGGTAATGGGAGACGGTGTGTAAGGGGAGGTGTTGTGTAAGGGGAGGTTGTGTGTATGGAGAGGTGGTGTGTATGGAGAGGTGGTGTGTAAGGGAAGGTGGTGTGTATGGGTAGATGGTGTGTAAGGGGAGGTTTCATGTAAGGGACGGTGGTGTGTATGGGGAGGTGTTGTGTAAGGTGGAGTCGTGGGTAAGGGGAGGTGGTGTGTGAAGGGAGTTGTTGTGTATGGAGAGGTGGTGTGTTAAGGAAGGTGGTGTGTGTTTGGGGAGATGGTGTGTAAGAGGAGTAGTCGTGTAAGGTTAGGTGGTGTGTAAGTGAAGGTGTTGTGTAAGTGGAGGGGATGTGTAAGGGGAGGTGGTTTGTAAGGGGAGGTGATGTGTAAAGGGAGGTTGTGTGTAAGGGAAGGTGGTGTGTAAGGGGAGGTGGTGTGTAAGGGAAGGTCGTGTGTATGGGGAGGTCGTGTGTAATAGGATTGTTTTTATGTTGATAGTGACGTTATATTTGATTCTAAAATATTTTTATTACAATGTAAGACTAAATTTTAACCGTTATAAAATGCACATGTGAGTCTAAAACTGGGAAAGTTTAGTTGGGGGGGGGTGGAAGCAGCTAATGGAATGTGCTCCCATTGTTTTGGGATTGGAATAGATTCGATATGGACAGTTGTAGGAATCTGGTTGAGGGAGCTGGTTATGAGTGAGGTGGAATGTTTGCAAATGTCGGCGTTGATGAAGGTTTGTTATGTTGGTATGACAGTTATTACAGTGTCATCGTCATCATTAATATCCTCTTTAACACACGGGATACCTTCATTACTCTCTGTCATTAAACAGCAAAACTTTATAAACGTAAGAGATTGTCAATAGTTTTAGAGGTGACCTAGGACGGCGTAGGGAACCTCATTCACTACCAGACATGAAAAACAAACATATTTCAGCCTCGTTGCAGTGTAGGTAGACTACAGGTGTATTACTTCCTGGTTTGTACATGTAGCCGACGTAACTATATTTTATGTTAGCATATGTCGATACGAGTGAGGTAAATAAAAAGAGGGAAGTCGCATACGTTGTTTTTAAATAGGGACCAACATCAGAGGTCGTTAAACTACGGCCCGCGGGACACACCGCCCTGACTCAAGTTCATCCAGCCTGCGGGGTCAACAGTGATTTTGAAATTACTATAGAATTTGCATCTTTGCGTAGTATCCCAAGAACAACAACAGGGGAGAACATTTCTACAGAGGAAGAAATCACCATTGCTCAGTATAATTTGTTTGGATTAGAAGACAATAGGTATACTTTACACCAGATGGTGATAGAAAATATGTACGGTACAATGATAGATTAAGTTGGGCAAATCTAAAAGGCTGTTCCAAATCTATGGTTCAACGTGCATTGTGTGGAAAATATCTGTATTTCTCCTGTGTCATAGATCCGTGGTTTCAACATTGATCTTTTGACCTTTATTCGCTAGCATGGCTTCTATCATTGTTACAAACGCGACTCTCGTAGAAAAATAAAAGCGGAAAATATGGTCCTACCCTACGAAACTTCTGACACAAGATGAAAGTTCTGAGGAAATTTCGCGATTTTTTTTTAAAACTGAGAGATAATTTTTTGTTGAATGCAAAAACCGCCCCGTCATTGCAACTTACAATTAGCCAATGGCTTTGGGGCAAAGATTTTTCTGCAGATTTTACCGATCGAGTGAACACATTGAATCTCAGAATGCATGGTTAACGAAGCTTGCGTCTGATATGTGCACCATCTCTGACATGTGCACCATCTCTGACATGTGCACCATCTCTGACATGTGCACCATCTCTGACATGTGCACCATCTCTGACATGTGCACCGTCAGAATGAAGAAATTTTGATGTTAAGGAGGACGAACTCTTATCATCAACTAAATGGCATTTTGTCAGGGAAGTCCTTGTTTCACGCTTCTCACTGACGTAAACATACGGATGTGGAGAGTACGAATGTTCACTTCATGCAATACTTTTATTTGGAGTGTCACTTATACAAATGCAATCTGACTATGTTGGAAACACATTTAGTCTTGCTTTATGTTATATTTTGACAACGGAAAAGCAGTGTTCAATACAGGTTTTCAATAATATTTTTTTTATCAAATATAAATGTCTGACCTTCTCTGACTATACACATTGACCACATTTGTTTCGCCACAATCCATACGGCATCAAGAGTCCGATGAATTCTTCGTACTGGCCCTTGTCATATATAAAGTTCCGATCACTGGTTAGATCACAGGTCGGCTGTCACCGGCTCATGGACCGTAGGCGTCTTATTAATGAAAGGGATGTGACTCTTTTCATTGTTAAAACCACCAGTGCCCTCGGCTCAAATTTACTATGTTAAAAATGGTTCATCTGGCAAAAAGAAACAAAAAAACAGCTAAACCCTGGGCTAGATCGGCTTTCTAAAAGACAACTAAACACTGGCCTACATTTGACTTCCTAAAAGACTACTCAATTCTGGCCTAGATTTAGCTTCCAAAAAGACTCCTAAATCCTTGCCTAGATTTGGCCTCCTAAAAGACTCCTAAATCTTTGCCTAGATTTGGCATCTTAAAAGACTACTAAGCCTTGGACTAGATTTGGCTTCCTAAAAGACTCCTAAAGCCTGGCCTAGATTTTGCTTCCTAAAAGACTCCTAAAGCCTGGCCTAGATTTTGCTTCCTAAAAGACTCGTAAAGCCTGGCCTAGATTTGGCTTTCTAAAAAACTCCTAAAGCCTGGCCTAGAAATGGAGTTCTGTACTTGAGATGTGGGTATTCGAAATAAAATCCTGAAATAGTCAAACAACTGACTTTGTGTAAAACTATTTTTTAAAGTGTATTAACTAAACACATAAAGGAGGAATTTTTTTTTCGAGATTAATTGGACTGGAAAGACTGGAAATAATTATCGTTTTTTAGGAACAACTCCATTAGTTAAATTCAAACAAATTCTTGCAACAGAATCTCAATGTCTGTCTTTTATGTTCAGTCTTTTTTTGGTGTATTTTGTAAATCATAGGTATAAGTTGTTATAAGTGTTTTAGGTAGGATATATATATTGACATTATGTAAATTTAATTTATACTTATTTAAATGTGTTGTGTTTGTTTGTACTGATGAAGGCATGTGCCGAAACGTTTAATTCTGTATAATGTACAATTATTATTAAAGCTAACTCATATTGTTCTATTGACACAATTTGTTCGTGTCTTATTAATGTAAATCATAGGACATCTTTGAAAACCTTATATGTTTCAGATAAAAAAAAATAATTCATACACAAAAATAATAACACCCAACACGGCACTCAATGTTGAACTTTAAAAATATGTAAATTCATCATGAAATAGAGAACAAACGGGCATTTTTTGAAATTGGAAGCTGCATGTCGAAGGACATGCTAGCTCCTTGCGTAAAAGTGCCCCTTACAGGCTTAGAATATTTCTTTTAGGCTCTATAAATTGTTAGTGGCATCGGGTCGGGTTCGTTTAGAATTAAATAAAACCCTTACGGATTACAGTTAGTAATCATATAAGAAGTCAATCATCGCTTTGACGTCTGTTCATTGACAGATTTTCATGGCCTAGTTTTTAAAGCTATTCATTAAATTATAGCGTATATTGATTTGCTCAAACACACGGAACTATAGATATTAACAACACAATGGGGTTCATTAGGGTGAACGTTAAGACAACCTCTTAGGACGACTTAATTTTCTTAAATGAATGCACATCTCTCAATAAGTAATCACAGTATAGAGCAAGTAGAGTTAACATGGCATGAACAGGGGCAAATTGGCAATAAAAAGGCAACCAAAGATATTATTATCTCAGCAAACTGTACCATCTTGGCGTACACAAATGTATTATTCAGGACAACACAAGGAAGCAAGTTTAACTTCGGCACTACCTGTGGGTGTGGGAGCTTATCGTCTGACATCGAACACTGATTGAATAGTCTAATCAAGACAGCTGGTAATGTCTCACCCTTCCCTTGAGGAACTATTTGAAGAAAAAAGCTGTTGTAAAAAGTTCTTTTTTTTTTTAAATTGGATAGTTCACCCCACCATCTTCATCACAGCTACCTAAGGTCAGCTCGATCAGGACAAACTCTCTCTCTCTCTATCTCTCTCTCTCTCTCTCTCTCTCTCTCTCTCTCTCTCTCTCTCTCTCCCTCTCTCTCTTAAAGTTAGGAACAAAGGATAATTAAAAAAATATGTTTTTCCCCGGTCTGGACACGTTTACCAACGTGCGCCCTCCGTGGTGTAAAATCTAAATGATCTCTAAGTCTAATAAAAAATCTGTTGTAAATAGTTCTTTTTTTTTTTATATTAGATAGTTCACCCCACCATCTTCATCACAGATATCTAAGGTCAGCTCGATCACGACACACTCTCTCTCTCTCTCTCTCTCTCTCTCTCTCTCTCTCTCTCTCTCTCTCTCTCTCTCTCTCTCCCTCTCTCTCTTAAAGTTAGGAACAAAGGATAATTAAAAAAATAGGTTTTTCCCCGGTCTGGACACGTTTACCAACGTGCGCCCTCAGTGGTGTAAAATCTAAATGATCTCTAAGTCATTATTGTCACTGGCAGAGTTCCTTTAAGACTGATCTCTACACTAGATGTCTTGTGTTTAACTTGTTATAATTGTAAAATGTTGTCTTAGTTTTTACAAAAAATATATTTATGTGCTGATAATGAATACGTACAATGTAATAAAAAAACATATTCATTTATTTGGATCAATAAAAGAATCTTAACTTATCTGATCGTAGGTCTTACAAATGATGTACCTATTAAACATAAAAAGAACAGTTTCTTTGAAAAATATTTACACACCAAATGTCACGTATACACTAAAACAAATACGTTCACCATTGCTAGTATTACTAGTCTATATCGATTTCATATAAATTCAACACTTACCTGGAGTGATTGTAGGTGCCTTAATGACAGAGCAGAAGTTGTCACCCCCTTCCCCCAAATATTCAGATCCCAAAACCAAACAAGAAGTAATAAGGGAAAATCAATATCCTGACTTAGCAAACCTTTACTAGAATATCTATGTTATATTTATGATGATCATAAGTGTAAATATGAAAATGTAACAACACTGCACTGCAGTCAATGAGATTGCTATAGGCAAGTGTTATTCAAATGATTTAGCTATCACGTGAGCCACACACACACATTTACATTCGTTTCACCATTTCATTTCTTTAAATAGTAACTTTCAACATCAATTTACTAGTCTATACATACGGTATGTTAACATCACTTTACTAGTCTATATCTTTGATAAGGTGCATCACTCTACTAGTATGTATCTATGATATTTTACATCACTTCCACTGGTCTATATGTTTGATATGTTACATCACTTTCACTGGTGTATATCTATGATACGGTACATCACTCTAATAGTCTATATCTATGATATGTTACATCACTTCAACTGTTCTAGACTAGAAGTCTATATCTATGATATATTAAATTACTTTACTACTCTATATATTTATAATATCTTATCATCAGTTACCTATCCAAAACATATAAACGGTCAATGACACATATAAGGCTCTCTGTACATCCATATGTTAGCCATTGTTAACCGGTTTCATTTTAACTATACCATCACAACATATTTTACTAGAATCACAATGTGTTGCTGTTAAATTAACTAAATAATTTTATTTATTCAAAAGTTATACCATGGAATTAGAAGAATATTGGACAAAAATCATTAGCAACTATTTTTTGTTTAAATTAATGAATGGCCATAAAATATTTCACAGAATCAAAATGGTTGACAAAAAATAATTAAAATATTTTTTTTAAATTTTAAATATAATAAAAACAGACGAGTTTAAATCCTCAAAAACTGTTGTTACAAAGCTTCCACCATTCACAGTGCGTTGTCGAAAGGAATTCAATTTCACATGCTAAATATCGATGCTGAATTTAATTGTCCCTTCAGTATTCGAATAATAATGTACCTTTGCATGATTCTGACCCACGGTCCCAGGTGATGGGTGATGATTTGATCGCTTTTTTTTCTTAGAATTTCGCACTATTTTCGATTTTAAAAATTTCCATCGACTATTGTTATCGTCTAAAGTTATTTGGGTATCTCTTCCTATAGTCTCTACGCTGACTCGCTCTTTCGAATCACTTCGGGGTAATTTTTTACTGGCCTTTTGTGGTCTAATCTGAGTATCATGTGTAGCAGCAATCGTTCCGTGAATATGTGGGTCTGTGGGCATGTCTGTGAGAAGAGAAATAAATGGATTTGGAAATCACTTTATAGAAAAACGAGGATTATGTCAAGAAATTGCAAACTTTCATAAATTAGTTGCTTAAATTTTTTATTGTAAGTAACCCCTATATGGTGCTCCGGTGGGGGTGGAGTGGAGTGGTGGGGGGGGGGGGGGTAAATAGGTGTCCATTTAAAATTATTTAAGTATTTAAATATCTGAGAAAGTGGCTTTTATATTTATTTGGTTGGCCTTTGAAGAGTTCGTGTTTTGATCTAAACAGACAACACATCTTTAAAAAAAAATGCTTGTTTGAATCTGCTGTACAGTGAAATGTATCAATAATAAATTTACTTTGTTTAGGAATAGTGAAGCTGCTTAATTTGTTTGATGTAAAGAATATCTGTCATTTTAATATAGATGTCAACCATTCGAAAATTAACTACAAGTTATTACGTGACGAGAGATAATAATAAGTTACTTGTAATTCATGTAAATGTAACTTTAATTTTAAAAGTGTCATATCTACATTATTAATATCGTGTACATAGAATAAATTATTAATGTAAAAGTTAAATATACGGTTTTCAAATATATCCATGTATGTATACAAAATATGACTGTACGTTAAATAATGTAGAAAATATTTTGTGCTCAGTTTATTAACGTGTTAATTTGTGTTTAAACTTGTTTAAGCCTATCTGATATGATGTTTGCATAACGGCTATAATCTGCATGAAATGATGCACCAAGCCATTCCATTCTATACTGACACGAGACACTCACGTTCCCGTCGGATACATTATGACATACATGTTGGCATCACATAAACAGAGACATACATGTTGCCCTCACATACCAAGACATCAGTTTGCCATCGCATAATATATCGCGATTCAAAAGTTGTCATAACACACAGAAAGACACGCACATATATGAAAAACAACTCAGCTTGCCATCACGAATACCAAGGCGCACAGGTTACCAACATAAACGAGATATGCTTCCACACATATATATGTATACACACGTATTTCCATCACACATATCTAGACACACATGTCGCAATTGATATATGGAGCACATAAACTGCTACACACCGTATAAAACGACTTGCTCATAGTTAGGGTCCTCAAGGGGTGCGGGTACGACAACCCTGTCATATCCAGTTACTTTTGGCTCTTGCAGCTGCTGTCTGTGTTTAAACGCACATATCAAGATGATAACAATGGTTGCTATAGGAAGTCCAAGTGTAAGTGCGATTATCAACATTTCTGTTCCAGCATTATCACCTCCTTGTTATGGTTACTTTGCTACCAAAAAAAAATAAATAACATTAAAAATTCAGTTATTGTTCTCAAATAATCTTAGTCTACCAAAAACTCAACATTATGTAGTATGATGCAGTGATGCAGCTTTATCAAATTGTTTGTTTACATTGAAAGAATCATTTTAGAAATTCTTGATATTCGTTAAAAATCGAGAGATTTTCAATATTCAATAGATTTAGATACGGACAAAATAAACATGTTTTATCGTTGTATTTGTTTAAAAAAGTATGTAGAATTTAAAATCGTCATTTAAACTGTGACATTGACTGGACTTATCTCATCTTAAGTTGACCCCTACTTTTAAAGTACTTTATTCTCATTCAGTTTGCCCTTATATTAAAAGTGACATAATTCACAACCAGTTGACCCCTACATTTAAAGGGACTTAATTCACAAGCAGTTGATCCCAACATTAAAGGGACTTAATTCACAACCAGTTGACCCCTACATTTAAAGTGACTTAATTCACAAGCAGTTGATCCCCACATTAAAGGGACTTAATTCACAACCAGTTGACCCCTACATTTAAAGGGACTTAATTCACAAGCAGTTGATCCCCACATTAAAGGGACTTAATTCACATCCAGTTGACCCCTACATTTAAAGTACTTTATTCTCAATCAGTTTGCCCTTATATTAAAAGGGACTTAATTCACAACCAGTTGGCCCCTGCATTAAAGAGACATTATGCACAATCAGTTGTCCCCTACGTTCAAAGTATTAAATTTACAATACGCTGCCACTTACTTTGACAGTTCTCCCCCCTTTCAAAGAGATTAGACATGAAATAATTGTATTCCTTTTATAACTTATCATAAACAATGAGTTAGACTTTTAAAAGGCAGACGATAGAATGCAACATGTTTGGGGTTTTCATATCTAACAACTTCTAATGGATTATGTTCGGTTTATTATAATCATTTATGCACATATTACAATGAAACACTTTCTTTTAAATTTTAATCCAATTCTATGTCTCATGACATCGCTGCAGCTGAAACTCTTAAACTTCAAACATTTATCGTTAAAATACAAAATGTAACATTTTAATTTTATAGAGATCTAATTAGCCATTGATAACTTTTAATGGCTAGAATATTGGCAATAGAATCAGTATGTTTCATCAAATACTGAGCACACCTGTGTTCGTTAGTACCTGTGGTCGTTAGTACCTGTGGTCGTTAGTACCTGTGGTCATAATCTAAAGAGATTCACTTTGATTAAATCTTTACAGCACGCTCTTATAACAATGACATTTTTGAAAAAGTTTAACAACATTCAATAAAAACAGATGTGAAAACTTTCCAGCGGCTTACCTGACAACATTATACTAAATAGAATTACAATTCGTCAAGGTATTACGAACATAGTCAACAAACAACTGTCCGGTCGTATTCTGTTCTGATGTCCACTCGTACAACGCTCTTCGCTTGACCAACAACAATTCTTTTGGTATAAAATCAGAAATAAAATATTCTTAGTAAATTCGTTTTTGTTAGTGTGTTTCCCAAGTGGCAGCAATCTAAACTGTAGGCATTTGAAATCAGCACAGATAAAAGGAATGATTAAACTAGCTTATCACTTTGGTTAAGATTCAATGGCAAAGAGCAGGAAGTAATCTCTGTACGTAAGGCGTAATAAATAAACCCTTTCTAATCTTTTTCTCTTTAAACTGTAAACTTTTTGTTTCTACTGCTTCTCTTTCTACCTGGCCCTGTTGACCTTGATATGTTATGATTGTTGGCATTGTACGCATTTATTTGTTAGCATAGTTGGCAATGACAGACTTCATCTGTTATAAATTTACCTCAACAGGTACCCTTGAAATCGCAACACATTCAAACGAAAATATCCTTCATAACACATTCATATTGTTATTCTCTTTAGAACACATTATAATAAATATCAACTTCTTGAGCACATACATACTCATAGCTTTATTTAGACCAGTGGTCGACAAATCATGGTTGGCGAGCCGCATGCGGCACCTTAGCGACCTTGGTGCGGCTCGGCTACCAGGCCACAAATCGGTTATGACTCCAAAAAACATGGTTCTTGACAGAGTCTTGAAAAGAAAATTGGCTCTAAAATAGTTTTAATCGTCCTCCTGTTTATTTTAGGCTCGTCATGAAAATATATCATAAACAAATATAACATATATCAAGCCTACCACCTGCACCATATCAAACCTACCACCTGCACCATATCAAACCTACCACCTGCACCATATCAAACCTACCACCTGCACCATATCAAACCTACCACCTGGACCATATAAAACCTACCACCTGCACCATATCAAACCAACCACCTGCACCATATCAAACCTACCACCTGCACCATATCAAACCTACCACCTGGACCATATCAAACCTACCACCTGGACCATATCAAACCTACCACCTGGACCATATAAAACCTACCACCTGCACCATATCAAACCTACCACCTGGACCATATCAAACCTACCACCTGGACCATATCAAACCTACAAAAACGACCATATCAAACCTACCACCTGCACCATATCAAACCTACCACCTGGACCATATCAAACCTACCACCTGGACCATATCAAACCTACAAAAACTACCAAATCAAACCTCCCACCTGGACCATATCAAACCTACAAAAACGACCATATCAAACCTAACACTTGGACCATATCAAACCTAACACTTGGACCATATCAAACCCACCACCAGGACCATATCAAACTTACAAAAACGACCATATCAGACCTACCGACTGGACCATATCATACCGACCAACTGGACCATATCAATCTTACCACCCAGATAATATAAATCCTACAACCTAGATCATACCAAATCTACCACCTGAACCATATCAAACCTATCACCACATCCATATTAAACCTTCCACCTGGACCATATCAAACCTACAAAAAAAGACGATATCAAACCTACCATTACGACCAGATCAGACTTTTTTTTCACTATATTGCTTTACACGCTATTATTAGCCCATGATTGGAAAGCTAGCTAAACAGAGTAATGAGAGAAGTGCACCATGTTTACTTTGAAAAATAACTTGGCAAAAAAATTTAAAAAAAAACATGGAAAAAAAAAAAAAAAAAAAAAACCTTCTTAAAAGGAAATGCCATGTCAACGGCCATACTAATGAACACTAATGCACCTGATGGAACGTATATAGTTTCTATGTCACTGTCAACTTGCTAATGACGTACCTGTATGTCATGAAACTCTTGATTATACTCTCCAGAGCACACACTTTGAATGTCGAATGATAAATGATAACACTCTGAATACGGTACCGTAAATCAACATGTTTACTATGGTAGTTTCATCTCTGACTATTCAAACGGAACAAATTAATATCAAATGAGCTGAGATGAGGAGCCAGAGTGCTTATCCACCATTTTTTGAAATTGCTGAAGGTAATGTTGGTGTATCCACGCAGCTATCTTTAAGCTACCCTCATAAACTATCTTACCTCGTCCAAAAATAGCCATACTATGGTTCCTTAGGACCGATGTGTTGAAAGATTTAGGGCCACTTTCGCTGATCAGAGTCGCATTTAGGTCAGTGACCTTCTGATTAGATACCAGTGTACATATACTAGTGTATAGATAATAGTGTATAGATACTAGTGAATAAATACTGGTGTATAGATATAAGTGTATAGATAATAGTATATAGATACTAGGGAGTATATAGGGTAATAAGGGGAGAGACTGCAATCAGGTTAGCACAATATAAAATTAGGAAAACAAAGTAGAATTAAACCTGAAAAAAGGAACGCAACAAAGCAACGAACGTTTCGGAATGAAGCCTTTGTCAGCGAACAAAACAACAGAAAAACTGCATAGAAGTAAAAAAAAATATAAAATAGCACTTAGCTTAGAGGTAGTATCCGCGGGCCGCAAAAGAATTGTGACAGAAAGAAAGTGAGTGAGAGATTAAATAGGGAAGAGGGAAAGAAGAGAGGAGAAGTAAGTCCACTGCGATAGGTCGGGATGTGGAGGGGTTGAGCTAGAATCAAGCCGTGAAAAGAGACATGACGTTCATACCATGTGGCCTCAATGTGTCATACATCATGATAAGCCTGTGTTCCCAATTCACCCGGCTGGTTGTGTTCGTGCAAGCCACGATCGCACTTATTGAAAAGTCCGTCTTCCCGTGGTGGTCGCTACTATTGCAGTGTTTGGAGACGGGAGACTGTTTATCTTGTGTAGTGTTTGGTACATATGTGAGAGATTCGCGGTCCATTCTTTCCTATGTACGTCATCTGGCAGCGGGTGCAGACAATGGCGTAGACAACGTTGCGGCTTGTACAAAGGAAACCGTCACGTATCTGAAAATTGCTCTTAGGGAAACGTATGTGTTGAGTCTGGACGACAAAAGGGCAAGTGATATATCAACCAAACACCATCCTGATATGTCAATCAAAAAGCATAGTGATATATCAAACAAACAACATAGTGATATATCAACCAAACACCATAGTGATATATCAATAAAATAGCATAGTGATATATCGACAGCGCACTAGAGTGAATTATCAACCAAACTGAATACTAATATATCAACCTCACCTAATTGTGATATATCACCCAAACAGCATAGTGATATATCAGCCAAACGGCATATCGATTTTTGAATCAAACCGAATATTGATACATCAACCAAACAGCATAGTGATATATCCACCGAACAGCATGGCGATATATCCACCGTACTGAATAGTGATATATCAATCAAAAAGCATAGTGATATATCAACTAAACAGCATAGTGGTACAACGACTTATTTCGTGTTGTTGTTGTTCGTCCTTGACCTGCCAAGATGACCAAGGATATATTCAATGGTGAATAAGCATATGGCCTGCCAGTTCTACTAGTGTCTGGAGAGCTTTCCTGCACGGGACACACACATTGTTTTGTATCCTAGATGATTTGAGTCTTTTCTGCTTTTCTTTGCCATGCGCGCTTCCCTTGGGCGTGATCGGTGCGCTTGTTCCCTGAGGATTGTGCCCCAACAGTGAGTCTACCACGCAGCTGTACAATTGATAGCGAGTGATTCCCATCAAATAGACCCCGTACTCATCGACCGGAGGCATGGCTTGGACATATTAGATGTGCAAAGTTGTAGAGGGGTGGGCATAGACTCAGACCACATACTTGTCAGAATCAAATATAAGCAAAGAAAGTGTAACATCCACAATAAAGAAAATAAAAGAGAAAAACAGTACAATAGTCATAAATTGAGTAGAGGCCCCAAAAATAATGAGGAATATCAACAGAATTTTGAAACTCAACAAGAATTATCCAAACGAGAATCAGCCAGCAACGTTGATAAAAATCAGCAATGAGAAAAGATTAAGCGAATAGTCAAAAGTGTAACGTCCATGAATTTCAGTGAAACTTTTAGACAGTTTTCAAAGTTCTTTTACTTCTGCTGAGCGTCTCTTTTCGAATCATTAGCTGTTTGTGAAGACTGCTGTCTGGCATTCGTGCAACATGCCCTGTCCGTCTGATGTCCTTTTTTTATGAGTTGATAAATTCATCCCGTTGTGTGAACTATGTATCAGATGTATCTATGATGTATAAATTGTATAATGAAGTTAATGATTTAAACACTTAATTTCTTTGCTCACCCTGAAAAATCAAAGGGAAGAAACTGTTACAAAACTTAAACAAGTAAAGCTTTGCTTCCCTTGATATATTAAATCAAAATGCCCTCTTTTAAAAAGGCATCACGAAAACTTGATTTTTTTTCTCTTGCGCACGACATCCAATATCTAATTACTTCCTGTTGATCCTAAATTATGAAAAACAATCCATTATCCGAAACGAAATGAGTATGGTAATATTCTATCTGTGACAGTAGACAATATAACCAATGTACTACAATGGCCTTGAAATGATAATGCAGTTTTTACATTGGGATTGTGTGCAGGGCCGGATTTCTCAAAAGACAAACCTAGGCCATAGCCTAGGGGCGGCAGCCCAGAAAAATAAGGTTGGGGGAGGAAGGGTATTCAAAGAAGCAAGAACTACAAGACATCTACTAATTTTTCAATAAAAAATTTGAAATTATGCTGTTGTTTTTTTTTTTATTTACTTTATTTAATTTTTTTTTTATTTTAGTTTGCCCATCGGTACATTTAGGTTGGCCATCGGTACATTTAGTTTGCCCATCGGTACATTTAGTTTGCCCATCGGTACATTTAGTTTGGCCATCGGTACATTTAGTTTGCCCATCGGTACATTTAGTTTGCCCATCGGTACATTTAGTTTGCCCATCGGTACATTTAGTTTGCCCATCGGTACATTTAGTTTGCCCATCGGTACATTTAGTTTGCCCATCGGTACATTTAGTTTTCCCATCGGTACATTTAGTTTGGCCATCGGTACATTTAGTTTGCCCATCGGTACATTTAGTTTGGCCATCGGTACATTTAGTTTGGCCATCGGTACATTTAGTTTGCCCATCGGTACATTTAGTTTGGCCATCGGTTCATTTAGTTTGGCCATCGGTACATTTAGTTTGCCCATCGGTACATTTAGTTTGCCCATCGGTACATTTAGTTTTCCCCTCGGTAGATTTAGTTTGCCCATCGGTACATTTAGTTTTCCCATCGGTACATTTAGTTTGCCCATCGGTACATTTAGTTTGGCCATCGGTACATTTAGTTTGCCCATCGGTACATTTAGTTTGCCCATCGGTACATTTAGTTTGCCCATCGGTACATTTAGTTTGGCCATCGGTACATTTAGTTTGGCCATCGGTACATTTAGTTTGCCCATCGGTACATTTAGTTTGCCCATCGGTACATTTAGTTTGCCCATCGGTACATTTAGTTTGCCCATCGGTACATTTAGGTTGCCCATCGGTACATTTAGGTTGGCCATCGGTACATTTAGTTTTCCCATCGGTACATTTAGGTTGCCCATCGGTACATTTAGGTTGCCCATCTCTACAGCGCTTGGTGTCTTGATAAGTTACAAACAAATAACACTAAATATTTCTGTCACACACACACACACACACACACAGTGTAAACTACACGTGGAACGAAAATGTCATTTTAACGTTTTAATAATTTTCAAGCTTAAATTATAGCATCTATCGTAGTCTAAGTGTTTTTATAGTGTCATTCCCCAGTGTTTTGAGGACTGCAATATAAGGGTCGTAGTGATGCGACTAACATTAAAGTGAAAATCCCTAAGTGCGATATTATTTAAGCTAATAAAGTCACTCTAATTATTTATTCCCTTAAAATTAAAAAAAGAAAAAGAAAGAATTCCGTACAACTAAGGTGAGAAGTTGAAAGATGAAAAATTTTATGACGCAATGCATTATCTTATAAGAATCCTTATTTTAAAAAAAAAATGGTGTAGGCCTGGTGTAAGGGCGCGAGTTGCGCCAGGGCTCTCTTAGCACTGACTGGAGGCCTATGGGAAGATTGTGATGGGTGCAGAAATGTTTGGCCATGAGAGATAGGGATTTATCTATGTTTCAATCTCAGACCTGGAAGAAACTCTTTATCTATTCTAGGTTTTAACTAGGGGGGGGGGGGCATGCATTTTAGTGGGGCGTGGATCAAGAAAAATTTGAGAAAAACTCCACTACGGGAGTTAGGCCTTCGGGAGTTAGGCCTACGGGAGTTAGGCCTTCGGGAGTTAGGCCTACGGGAGAGAGGCCTATGGCAGTTAGGGCTACAGGAGTTAGGCCTACGGGAGTTAGGCCTTCGGGAGATAGGGCTTCGGGAATTAGGCCTGCGGGAGTTAGGCCTATGGGAGTGAGGCCTACGGGAGTTAGGGCTACGTGAGTTAGGGCTACGGGAGTTAGGGCTACGGGAGTTAGGGTACGGGAGTTAGGCCTTCGGGAGTTAGGCCTACGGGAGTTAGGGCTACGGGAGTTAGGGCTACGGGAGTTAGGCCTTCGGGAGTTAGGCCTACGGGAGTTAGGGCTACGGGAGTTAGGCCTACTGGAGTTAGACCTACGGGAGTTAGGCCTTCGGGAGTTAGGCTTACGGGAGTTAGGGCTACGGGAGTTAGGCCTACGTGAGTTAGGCCTACGGGAGTAAGCCACCTGACGAACCATAATTATTTTAACCGTAACAACCCGTTTGAAAACTAGAAGCCATGGTTACACTTTGTATCAAACATGTGAATCTCACAACCATGTAGCATTGGGTGGGGGGGGGGTGAAGTTTGAAGCAAATGTGCAAAATACAATATATCTTCTTTTGAAAGTGGTGTCTTAATTCAGGCTTTGCCCCGGTGCACATACTTTGATGCCCTAATCGGGCTCTGATGACTAGTGCCACAATAACCTGCAGACTCTCCTCTGCAGTTATTTGGAATCGACTAGTGACGTAGCTGGTAGTATGACGTTGAAGACCGTATCATTTTGTTTTTAAATTATTTTTTTTTGAAAGGCTGTGGTCATGAAATTGTCATCCAAAATTTGACGTGCAGAGTGGCCCGCGCGGAACTTCACTGTGGTACATTGTCATTGGAGGGCATAAAATGTATTTGTTTGACATAATGTATTTAATGGTAACAGGTCTTTGAATAATGACTCTTAGGGTTTAAGAAAAAAATAATAAGCTTTGGTGTCCCAAAAAGACGTCAGTCTAAATTAGAATAACGGGACGCTGCTACTGCTGACCTGCTATCCTACCAACTATATATCCTACCAACTATCTATTCTGCAAACTACCTATGCTACAAAATATCTATCCTACCGTCTATCTATCCCACCACCTATCTATCCTACCACTATCTATCCTGCGAGCTATGTTGCCCTGCTATACTACCAACTAATTTACTCATCTATATACGCCATTTCAGTTTTTTTTCAGAAAAAATGGGGGGGGGGGGGGG